CTTGTACCTCTTCATGGCCACCCCACCGACGTGCCAGCCCCAGTTGCTTTCCCAGGGATGGTTGCCCTCACCCTCAGGGGATACCTGCCCAGGGGTCCTGCTCCTTCTCCTGCCCTCAGGACCACTTTTACTTTTGTTTTTGGGCTCCCAGCCCTGCCAAGGGGCTTCACCCCAGTCTCTAACACCTCATCTCCGATGCCAAGAGCAGGGGAGCGGTGGGGTGAGCCGTACTGCCCTGCCAGGAGCTGTGGGGGGATGCACCCTCTGGCAAAGCGATCCCTACCTTGTCTCCAGGATCTGCTGGCGGATGGTTTTGATGTACTCGAAGCTGTCAAAGCAACAGATGTCATAGACCAGGATGTAGGCATGGACGCTCCGGAGCCCCCTGCAACACACGTCCGCCCACTCCTGCAAGGTGCAGAGAGGGATCAATCCTGGCTCAGCCCCGTCGCTGTGCTCGGGGGATGCTCTGTGCTGCTGTGGGACTGGGCAGGTAGCAAGGGGACTGCAGGCTCTCCAGCCCCAACACCCAGCACCCATCTTGGCCATCATTTTAGGTGAAAAAACTTAAAAAAAAAGACACTTTATCATTGATCTATTCAGCTAGTACCATGAAGATGTGATCCCTCACACCGGCTTTTAGCAAGCAGACCCAGATGTGGAGGGAGAAGCATTTCCCAAAGAGGAGAAACCAGGCCCCCGGGGGGTTATACATCTCCGCCCTCCCCTGCCCCACCCCTGCCACAGCTGTGTCTGCCCCCCCCATAGCCCTGCAGCCATCCCCCCCCCAAATCTCCAGAGATTCCTTATCCCCTCGTTAATCCAGAGGAGAGATAACAGGATTTGTCAGCCCCAATTCCTCTCTGGAGCGAGGATTACAGCCTGCCTAACACGCAGCAGCCTGGAGGCCAGCTGGGAGCAGGGCTGAATGCAGCCCCCTGCCCTGGCTGGAAAAGCTTCATCCTCCAGAGCTGCTAATTAGGTGTGTTAATTAGTGATGCACCCTGATTTAGGGCAGGGAGGATGAGGAGGATGCCCATCCTGGTGGGGTTGGGGGTGATGGACCAGCAGCTCTATGGGTCAGAGGGGGAAGGTGATGGAAGGGCTTTTTGGAGGGGACATGGAGACAGGAAAGGAGCAGCAGCTGCTCAGGAGGTGGGTCTGCGAGAGCAAGATCAGGAGCCAGGGCAGAGGCAGTCAGGGGTGGCCTCTCCACAGCCAACAATGTCAGAAACACCTGTTGTTAGGAAAGCTTTGGCTCTCCCCCAGACCAGCAGTGGTACTGAAGCTGCAGTGATGCCGGGGAACAGCAGCACCACAAACCCTCCTGAGGGCAACTGGAGAGGAAAGAGATGCACCAAGAAGGAAAAGGCATCACTTCACCCCCAGCAAACCTCTTCAGTACCATGAATCATCCCTTTCTGAGGCAAAACAAGAAGATCTAGGACTGAAAGAAACTGTGAAAAGGAAAGTTTTGGGGTGCGGGTCGGTGTCCATCGTGGAGGGAAGCATGGGAAGGAGCTGGGAGCGAGTGGGATGACACAGCCCCTCTCCTGTCCATGGCAGGGAGGAGATGATGTGCAGCTCGGTGCTATCAGAGATGCAGGCGGATGAAGTGGCAGCATCTCGGGTCACTCTGAGTCCCGATACACCCGGGAGATTAATAAATTGCAGCTATTGCAGCACACTGGGGTGCAGCTTGCTCTGGCGCCGTGATGTCAGGATGGTTTTCCTGGGATGCTCAGGGCTGGAGGAGGGTCATGCTGTGCATCCCACCTGGCCCCACGCTGGAGTGGGATGTCAAGGAGCTCCCATCTCCCGCTCCTTTCCCAGGACATCACCACAGGGATGCTGCTGCTGGGCAGCAGAGCCCTTCCCAGCAGAGCGAGCCATGTCCCCCACCACAGTGCTCTCCTTTCCCCTTGGAGCCATCCATCCCTCTGACCATCCCCTGGAAACCTCCATCTGTTCCCACCAGCCACCTCCTCTTGAGCACAGCGAGGCAGGGAGTTAAGCGAGTGCATTAGCATCGGCTGCTGTGTCAATAAATTACCCTTTGCTATCTCGGGCTGTCTCTGGCACTGACCTTTCATTCCTTGCACACACCGATTAATTTTTAAACTTCCTCCTCGCCCCTGGAGCGCTCACTTTGCCTCCTGCCCAATGGCACAGGGGAAACTCGGAGCATTACAAGGCCCCTGTAACCCCGTCCTCATCGCACGCAGGAGCAATATAATTATATTGATTAAAAATACAAGAGAGCCCAGCTCCCTTGGAGGTGCTGCCGCTGTGGCATCACCCTCCAGCACAGCTGGCCACCTCCAGCTCCTTTCCCCACAGCAGTGGCACAACTTGTGTCCCTGGGCCAGGGCCACCACATGAGCTTAAAACTCTCTTTTTCCCCATTAAACCCCCCCAAAGTGGTCAGCACTTTCCAGCCCCACGCTGCCTTTTTGGGCTGGTTTGGCAGTGCCTGGGGGTTTGAGGAGGAGCTGGTGGGCTCAGCGCTCTGGGGACAAGCCCAGGCAATGCTGAGGGGTGACAGCCACTCTGGGAAGGGACAAGCAGCCCCGCTCTGCCTGTCTCAGGCAGTGGGTGTCAGGGTTTGGCTCTCCAAAAACTCCAGATTTTCACCCAAATGCTCTGGCCACACTCCTCCAGCCCTTTGCTGGTCCCAGCTCTGACAGCGACGGGACTGGATCCCAGTGCTCCGGGATTCACCTCCCAGCTGGACGGGGCCACAGGCATCACCAGAGCCAAGGTCCTCAGAATGGCACACCATCCCTCCCATATTTGCCATCGTTTTAGGTGAAAAAGCTTGAAAATACACTTTATCCTGGGTCTGCTCAGCCAGTACCATGAGGATGCCTCACACCAGCTCTTAGCAAGCAAACCCTGACGTGGAAGCAGAAGCAGCCTTTGAAGAGGAGGAACTGGGACCTCATGGGGTTATACAGCAAAACCCCACCACTGTCACCAGAGACCCCCACGGTGGGGATCCCATCACACCGAGCTAGGCACACCCCTACCTGCAGGGTGTTGACGGGGAAGGCGGTGATGGGGGGAAAGTCCATGATCTGCAGGTCGTGGACGTGGCCGTTCATGACGACGGCGGGCAGGTAGACACGGCGGGTTGTGGTGGGCACGCAGACCTCGCTGAACTCGTTGTAGAGGAACTGCCGGACTATGGCACTCTTCCCCACGCCCTGAGCTCCCAGCACGGCGATCTTGAACGTTGCCACCATGCCGCCGCGCACCGGCCGCTGCCCTGGTGCTGCCCCTGCAACGCCGAGGATGCATATTCCCACGCAGGGGGCCTCAGCCCCATTCAGGATGCATTTCCCCTTCGGGACAGCCCATCACTGCAAGGTCAAGGAGAAGTTGGTCAGATCCTAGACACCCTGGCAGACCCCACTATTGCTTCAGGTGATATTTTTCTAAGCAGGAGTCCAAGGAGGTGGGTTATGTCTGTCCTCAGGGAGCAGGAGCATCCCTCAGGGCTGGGTGATGTCCTCAGCGGGGGCTTTGGCACTGTGGGACCCCAAGGTCCCCCTTGGAGAGCAAAGGAGAGATAGGATTTGAGCAAACTTCATCACAGGAAGGTCCTCACCAGCCCTTTTGGTACCAGGGGAAGGAAATCTCCGGGAGAGGAACTGTCTGTGGCTCAGGACTTGCCCGACCCCAGCAGCAGTGGGGTCCTGGGCTGTGTGGTTGCTCCATCCTGATCCGGGGAATCCATCTTCCCTCCACTCGGACAGCCAGAATGGCCTTTTGCTGGAGCAGGAGAGAGATTGCTCTGCGCCTGCGAGCGACAGCTTTAATATTTAATTTCAGGCTTTGAGTGGTTTGGCAATTAACTTGATGGAGGCTAATTTCCGAGCCAGCTGATGGGGTGAGCCCACAAGCTGCTGGCGCACGTGCTGAGGCGAGGGGGTCCCCGGGGCAGGGCCAGGCACGCTGGGGAACACCAGGTGACAACCCACGCACAAGGATGCAGGAGCCGAGTCCAAGGAGCCCGAACACCCACTGGCACTGGTTGCCCAACTGGGAACTGAGAGGGAAACAGCAAGGGTGAGGGGCCAGGTCCCAATTTTGCTCACTCCTGTCGCTAGGAAAGGGCTTCTGCTTTATCCCAAAGTGTGCATGTTTTACCAGTTTGTGATGCTCTGGTCCATTTTCCCTGAAAATCATCCCCAAAGCACAGAGCAGTGTCCCCTGAGCTGGCAGAAAGTGGCAGGTTCAAACCACCCTGTCCTGCCTGTTTGATGGAGGTTATTTGTCCTGGGAAGAGCTCGGCTGTGAGTGTCCCTGGTACTGGGAACGTCAGGATTCCCACAGACCTTCA